CCTGTCTGTCTCTGATCTGTGCACCGGCGGATGATGTATTGTGTTCATCCTATGACAGCGAACGCCGTAGGATGCAACAGGAATTAAAGCACGCGTAACTCGTTCACCCAGAAACTGATTGATGATGTGTATGCGAATCTTCATCGCGTCTGTTGTTGTTGTTGTTGTTGTTGTTGTTGTTGTTGTTGTTGTTTTTGTTGTCTTCCACATTAAAAAACAATTCCGGTGTCCGCTGGTGCATATTCCATTTGACCCGGTGATCCCGTTTCCTTTTCTCTTTGGTTCCATCCACTCTTGACAGAGCCATCCACCACCATGTCCAGCCCCCCCGCTACCGGGGCTTCCCGGGCAGCAGGGGCATCAGGGGCATCAAGGCAAGGGCACTAACTACTGAGAGACACATCTCCTACGCACGTCGAGATTTTTTTTTTGTTTTATACTGTTTCGTATCGTGCTGTACTTTAAAAAAAAAAAAAGGAATCACTTATAAAATATTTGAATTATTTTTTGTGCATTTGACACTCAAAAAGTATAGCCCACACGCAGGTCATCACCGCTGATTTATCTACGTGTTACAAGATGGGCGGCATTAGTGTCTGTGGGCAACGTTTCTCGAAGGGTAAACGACGCGTCAGGGTGTTCCCTGGTCAAAAGGCGACGCAGTCGGGTTCGTACTTTTCATCAGCATGACATGAGCCTAACTGCGTGGTAGACGCCCATCTTCCACATCACAAAATAGCTCGGAGTTTTCCTTACCGCGGCTACTTTTCCCTGCATTTTTTGTCCTGATTTTCGGAAGTGTACACAGCCCTGACGGGAGATGGGTGCCTTTCATCGGCCATTTTCTCCGCAGAAGTCACTTCCTACTCCAACCAAAGGACACCAAAATATGAACCTTCCAGCTCCAATGATAGCATCCGACATCCGAGACACACTCTTCCATGATTGAAAACAGCATGGTTGACAAGTCGACTGAAACAGGAGTTGTGCTAAGGTAGGGGGGTGCACTCTTGGGGTGAGATCTCACACCTTTTGGGTGCTATGGTAGGGGGAGGGTGCAATCTTGGGGGGTGAGATCTCACACGTTTGGGAAAAATGAAAAATACGTAGACCTGTTTCGGTGATGTGACGGTGGTACAGGATATATTTGTTTGGAGCTGGAATATTCGTGTTTTGGCGTCCTTTCGTTGGAACAGAGACTGATTTCTGAGGAGAAAATGGCCAGTGGAAGGGACCCATTTCCCGTCAGAGCCGGTTACATTGCCGAAAATCAAGTCTCATTTTGCAGGGAAAATGGCCACGATAGGGAGTGCTCCGAGATATTTGGTGACGCGGCAGGTAACAAGTAGGCGTAGACCAATCAGCTGAGCGCATGTCACGCTGATGAAAAGTGCGTATCCGGCTGAGTCGGTTTTCGATCAGGGTATGTATGCCCTCACGTGTTGTTTACCCTTCCCCGAAATATTCCCGACGTAGGACATTTCACACGACTCACATTTTATGGAGATGAGGTACCTGGGGTGGCACACAAAGTAATTGATCCTGAATCGCAACAATTACATCCGGGTTTCAACTCCTCAAAGTCTGAGCGACTCAGAATAGCAAATTGCGCTTGTCCAACCATGAGCTTCCTACGATTTCGAACTTTGGTGTTTAGTAGTGTTTGCATGTATTTCGTGCGCTGTTTGTTTTGGCGTGAACCCCTGTACGGGAAGCTCGCGATTGCAACCAAAATCTGCTGATGTGATTATGATCCTACCTTGTACATCTCGTCGGCGATTTCCCCTTGCTGATTTGGACTTTGCGGTGAGTTGGTGGCCCCGATCGTCCCCTGAGACTACACGTGCGGCCTCCTTCCTCATTGCTTTGTTGCAGCAGCTGGGGCGGTTGTGCTTATCTTCACTGCGAAGGAAAAAACCCTCGTCGTTTTGTGCTAGCGTTGCGGCAGTCCGGATTGTCGCAACTCCTGGTGCTCGCTGGTGTTCATGCTCCGACTGTTGTTAGGCGTTGCCTGTGGTCGGTACTCTCACAAGATAGGTCCGTGATGTACATTTTGTGTAGAGCGGGGTGGTGGGTTCTTGCGCCACGCCGTCCCTTGATTGATTTGTTTTGGGAGACTCTGTCCTGGGTCAGTTTACGATGTTTGAAGGGCGGTAGCGATCCCCCTAGCGGCAGGTTGAGGGATTGTATACACCCGAAGCAGCGGAAAGCACATACATCATAATCCACCCTAGAGCAGTGTTTTTTCTTGTTTTCCAACGTTAGTCTCCAACAATCGCCCCCCCGTGCCATTTATCATCACGGCTCTAGATTATGACCTGGGTTATCTCTCTAGGTGGTTGGAGTGTGTTGGATTGGTCGGCGGTACTGTTCGTCATCGGCGATGGTGGCTTGTTCGAACGGTCAACCCAGGAGACTTACAGCGGGTCAGCACTGACTGAGTATCTTATATCCGTCAAAAAAGGATCAACCTCGCTAAGCTAGCCAACTCTTTGTAGTCTAGCATAGTTGATGCTCTTCACGGCCCAAAAACGCTCTCTGTGCCTCGCTGATTAGTTTAGTGTTTTGGCCCTTCCAACCAACATGAGTGGGTGTGCGAGCATTTCGTATACTCGGACCCTGTCCACTTACCATGGTGTCTGGTGGTGTTGAGCGTGGCGCTGCTAGTGTAAGCCACTCACCAAAGTGTACATGTAGTGCGCTCGTCAAGCGCTTGTGTCTCTGTGATGCTGTATGTCGCTGTTCTGTTTGTTTGACCTTTCACGCATGCTCGTTTTGTTTCGTGTGATACCATTCAGGGGAACTTTAGCCATTGCAACCAAACTGCTGACGCGTGTCGAACAGAGGTTATGTTAACGAAGCCTGACGTCTGCGCCTCGTCGGCGGTTACCATGCTGTATTGGACTGTGCGATGAACTGGGTTCGCCCATCGTTTCATGAGGTGGAACCTGTGGCCTCCTCGTTGCACCGCTTCATCACAGCTGGGTTGGTTGTCGTGTTTCTCTGATCATAGAAAAGAACGAACGAGGGTGCCAGTGAAGCGGCAGTGTGCGAAATGCAGCACGCCAACATTTCTGCTCCCGGTTATTCGAGCGTTCGTTCGCTATGACTTTGGTATCCGCAAACAAGAGAGCCGTGTTTTGGTTGTGTTATGTGTAATGGGGTGGAGCGTTCTTCAAATGTACACCGTGTACCCCTCGTGGCAAGTTTTTTGGAACGTTCGGCCTGTCCCTGTGTTGTGTGGTTTCAATGCCGATTTCACCAGTTGCCGCAAGCTGCTTGTTTACCTAATGTTCTGTTTGTTTCGTGTGATATCATTGAGGGGAAGCTCGCCATTGCAACCAAACATCGCTTCTAACAGAGGTTATGTAAATAAGGCCTGACGCTCTGCGTGTCGTCGGCGGCTATCCATACTGTGTTGTACTGTGCGACGAACTCGGTTCGCCCATCGTTTCATTTGGTAGAAGGTGTGGCCTCCTCGTTGCACTGTTGTATCACAGCTGGGTCGGTTGTCGTATTTCTCTGCTTGTAGAAAATAACTCCTCACGTTAGTACCAGTGAAGCGGCTGTGCGCGCAATGCAGCACGCCGGCATTTCTGCTCCCCATAAACGAGCGTTCGCTATGATTATGGTATCCGCAACAATGATGAACATTTGGTGTTGATGCAATCGCTTCAGATGACTCCCTCTTTGTACGATTTTAGCCGAAGGATGTCATTATCTGCACTCCTGTTTTTTGTTGCTTGGTTGCTTTTGTTCGGTTTCGAAGCGTGAGGTGGTGAAATCGTGTCCCTGTTGAAGACCCGTTTTCACCCATTCTTAGCAAATGTATTTTAGCGTTCGCGCTCACGGTCGTTGTCACAAACGAGCTGTGACCCTCGCCCCTCCCCGCCCATGCCCCCATCCACCCCTGCACGTACCTGTTGATGGTAGTTTCGGGTAATCGTCGAGTGGGATCATTTTCAGCCGATGCCAGAGAACAGACTGTGCCCCTCCTGGCCCGGTCCCTAGGCCGACGCCATTTTACCACGGCCACATGGTCAACCTGGAGACTGGACGAGCGTCCAATGGCTTTTGGGGGTGGGTCATGATTTTATCTTGGAACTTGCTTTCGAAACGTTCGTGAATCCCTCGAAAATAGTTCTCACCGATTCTATTTAGTTTTCAGCCATGCTGTGGAGACCACGTTCATTTTTGATTGAGAATTGACGCATTGGAACCCCGCCCGCCTCCCTCCGAAGCTTGGCTTGGCCGCGCAACTGACGACACGTGGCTGGCTGCCGGCTCGCCCACTCGGCAGCGCTGGCGTCCCTGGCGGTACCATTTCGCCGCCGAGGCAATCAAGTGAGTACCACCGACGGCCAGGCGTTTTCAAGGTGTTTCAGGCAGTGCGTATGAACATTGGATTCTTGGTGGCTATGATACCAATATTAACATCCAAACGAGAGCGTGTAATGCAATGGTTGCGGACAAGGCTATCATACAAAAAATATGGAAAAATGTATAATCAAAACCCGCCGGGCCAGGTGAATGGGTTGCGTCTGTCTCTACGCGGAGTAGGAACGGAGAACCGTATCGAAAATTGGTACTTACACGGTAATGGTCAAGTGACCCTGGAAAGCGGCAAGCGAGAGCGTTCCCCGACCGTCGCGTAATCGATGGAAATAACCGATAGGAACATGACGAGAAATTTCTACCTCACGCGGCAGAAAAGAATTTCGTGAGCGCTCTCGGGGGAGCCGCTGATGCAATGGTCGCGGGGTGTTTTATGGGATGTTGTAGTGAGAAGAGGCATTTTTTCGTGTGGGGAATAATACTGATACCCTCCCCCGCAGCTGTCATCCGTACGCAAGGAAGTAAGCACAAGATGCCGAACACCCTTAGCAGGATGCAGCGCACCCTTCATGCGACTCGCCGAATATCTCACGGTGCTTCGCGCTTGGTGATGTGAGAGCCTGGTCCGGTGAGAACCCGGCGCGCTCCGTCCCGGCTTTGTAGGGATGCGAGGTCAATGGTCTAACGACTACGGCATGCACGACTATGAGTACACCCCCTCCATCCCTCGCTCGTGCCCGAACTTGTAGTAACTTCTTTCGAAACGCTACTGTCTCTAGTAGGAATGAATAGGCTCCTCAGCTACAGCAGCCTTGTAGATGACGGCATATACCGTCCACACTACCCCCTCGCCGCTCGGCCTTACTGACAATTACTCCACGGGACCCCCCCCCCCCCCCCCCCCCCCCCCC